AAAAAAAAGCTCATCTGAAAAAATAATAAAATTATACCTAAAAAAATAAGTAAAACCCTTGTCTCCTAGTTTTGACTAAAGTTTTCATTTTAACTGGTTACTAGTCTTTGCAGTTACTTGCTGTGCATCAGAGAGCTGGATAATGACAAGGATGACAGAAGAATCAATGCCTTTTGAATTGTGGTGCCAGAGAAGAGTATTGAATGGATTGCCAAGAGAGCAAACAGGTTCTGGAGAGAGTGAAACCAAGATGCTCCTTGGGAGGCAAGGATCTTGAAGCTCTGTGTCATACGTTGGGTGTGTTGCTATGAGACACCAGTCCTTGGAGAAGGACATCATGGAGAAGGACACCTTGGGAGAGTGGAGGGACAGCGCAGGAAAGGAAAACCCTGGATGAAATGGATTTACAGAGTAATGGAGGTAAAGAGGGTAGGTGTATTTGAGACAATGAAAGTAGTTCAGAGTAGGCAGGCTTCAGAACTATTGTACTTAGGGTCGCTTTGAGTCGCAGTTGACTCAATAGCATATAACAACAACAAGAAGTTTCAACTTCCATTCTTGATAAAACTAGAGTGGGTGTATCTACAAGAGAGTCTAGACACAATCATCTTCATTCCTTCTATACTTTACTGTATAGAATGTGTTTTCATTGTATAGATTGTACTTTCATTTAGGAATAGATAAAACTTGGGCCTATTCTGTACTTTGAAACACTGCAGGCACATTTTGTTGCCTCTGTATTCTCTTGCTCTGTGATTTTTTTTTTTAGGGTAAAATAGTCAAGATATATTTATTAGAAAGGGACAGACTTTGCCACCTTGAAAGGAAATAGAAGGAGATAGGCCTCTTGCTCTGTGTTTTGAACCTTTGCTTATAGCCTGCTTAGTGAGAGCCAGATTAGAATCACCTATGTGTCCACAAATGACTAGCTGTGAGCTGCTGCTAGTGTTTGAGTCATCTGCTCAAGACCTTTGTATTCGGACCTACCCAGTTGATTTTGGACCTGTCTTTGTTTTAACCTAATCCCATCCAGTGTCTAGTCTTAAAGCATTGATGTCTGCCTCTGATTCTGTGGATTGAACTCTAGCTTTACAATTTAGCTGTTTTTTCACTTCCTAGTTCCATCATTTTTTTGCTTGACCAGCCTAGACCATTTTGAGCAGCACCTATATGAATGTGATAGATTGCCTTAATGCTCTTATGTTTATCTTAATTAATAGCTTTTGCCAGTTATTCAACTGTGTATGTTAGTATATACATATATATCTGGTCTATATATATCTGTATATCTGGTGTGTAGATGAATAAGTTTTCTTTATGCTAGAGACCAGAATAACAAATGCCAAGAAGAAAAGTAAATATGCACTTTCACATGTTAGTCATTCATTGCTAATACTGAGAAAAGCTACCAGTCCCCAAGATAGGAGACACTTCATACTTTCCTAGTGTGCAATACATGCTCCAACATAATTTTATTTGATCTGTGATTGTTTAAAAGCCTCTCTTTATTAATTTCTTATCACTTTACTGTTGGTACCAAAGAGTTAATATTTATTTGACATAGTATGCACTCTCCTTAAAAATTAATTTTTAGGAACTTTACTGGAGAAGACGTTTCCTTTAGTTGAAAGAATCGTGCTTTTTTTGGTTTGTTTGTTTTCGTGTTTTGGTGTTTTTTTCCTTCATTGTGTGCTAGAAGATAGACTCCCTCCCTCACTTGCTTATATTTATTTTAAAAGTGTCATGTTTACGTTAAGGGCCACAAAATCATCAATGTCAGGAACATTTTAGAAATTCTGCATTATATATTATGATATTGTTACAATTCTTTTTTTCCCCCTCTCAGTTGTAGAAATAAGCTTTTCCTTATTGGATCTACCCGTGTGGTCAGGAAGCAATTGCTCACCACCTCCATTATCTTTGTCTGCATGTTAGCCAATTTTTCAAAGATCTCCCAGTTAATCTCTAGGAAATGAAAAAACTTCAAAATTATAATCCTGTTACGCTGTCTTTATTTCTTGATGGGTTTGTTAGTTCATGTCCTTCTGCAGTAGCCTGTAACATTGTGCTCTTCTCAGCGCTTTTGTCTTTAAAAGGCTTTGGGCTGCCATTTTTACTGAAATTGATTAACTATTCTTTGTTGAAGTAGATACTTTTGGATTAAAAAAGAAAATCGATCCTCTTATTTTTCTTCTCTTTATTTTGTATGATTTCAGGTAGGATGGCCCCCCTTCCTCGCCTCCCGCTAATCAAACTGCAGCCTGATTACTTTTTCCACTTTTGGCTTCCTTTCTTTTATAAGAACTGTATTGTTGTCTTTTTATTTTTCCTACCCATCTAAAACACTACCAGAAAGAAAAACCAATTGCAAGAGGGACTAGAATCAATTCTCCTTTTGGAGACTAGCCAGATGCAGTTTTAATTTCCTTCATAAAATGGGAAAGATAATGACTTCACTTGGTTATTCTCTTCCTGAGCAGCTTCTGGGATGAAAACTCTTGGTTGATAGTGAAGCTTTAGCCAAAACTCTTTTAATGTGTTTCTTTACAGCTTGAAACTTTTCTATAGTCTAATTTTCTCATGTGAAGGCAAACTTTGACACTAACAGTCTCTGGATATACTAATATTTTATTTTTTTTCTCCTAGGTACGGACTTTAACATAGATAGCTTGCCTCTGCCTCGGAAAGCCCATCATGACTGGGCCCTTTTTCATGAGGAGTCGCCGAAAAACAATTATAAACTCTTTCACAAGCCAGTCATCACCTTGTTCAACTACACAGCTACATTCAGCAGGCATTCCCATTTGCCACTCACTACCCAGTACTTGGAGGGTATAGAAGTCCTGAAGTCACTCCGATACCTGGTTCCTTTGCGCTCTAAAAACAACCTTCGGCAAACACTTGCTCCCTTGGTTTATGTGCAGTCAGACTGTGACCCACCGTCAGATAGGGACAGCTATGTTCGGGAGCTGATGACTTACATCGAGGTTGATTCCTACGGTGAGTGCTTACGGAATAAAGATCTCCCCCAGCCACTGAAAAACCCAGCCTCCATGGATACAGATGGCTTTTACAGGATCATTGCACAGTATAAATTTATCCTGGCTTTTGAGAATGCAGTTTGTGATGACTATATCACAGAGAAGTTCTGGAGACCGCTGAAGTTGGGGGTGGTCCCTGTGTATTATGGGTCGCCCAGCATCAAAGACTGGCTTCCAAATAACAGAAGTGCTATTCTCGTATCAGAGTTTTCTCACCCCAGAGATCTGGCAAGTTACATCAGACAACTGGATCGTGATGACAGACTGTATGAGGCCTACATAGAATGGAAGCTGAATGGTGAGATCTCTAACCAGCATCTTCTCAGAGCTCTCAGGGAACGGCAGTGGGGAGTACAAGACGTCAATCAGGACAATTATATTGATGCCTTTGAATGTATGGTGTGCAACAAGGTGTGGGATAATCTTAGGCGTCAGGAAAAGGTAAGCAGATCAAGTTTCACAAAAAAGATGTTGGGGCTGGCAGTCTTGGGGACCTCTGCTCTTGGGTGCTTCCAGTTCTTTATTTTGCTCTACTTACCCCTGTTGCTATTGCTCACCACTCCTGCTTCTTTGTTGTCAGAGAGATGTTCAGATCTGCGTGAAGATTGACTATTTTATTAGTGTCCCTTGAGGGTTTTTGTAAGGTTTACCAGGCCTGTGCTTCTTCCTTAAGGCATGAAATTCTCCTTCATTTATTGCTTCTTCTACAGGACACTTGTACTGGAAGCAGTGACACAAGATGGCTGGAGGAGGAGGAAGAAGAAAGGTGTAATAAATAAATAAATAAAAAGATAAATAAATACTCTTAAAATGTTCTGAATCTCATCCACTTGGTCCAGCTTTTTAGCCTCTCCATAAATACAACATTAATAACCTTTCTTAACGTCCTTAGTAAGGAAGAACCCGCACTTGATTTATAGTGATGGTCAGACACCCAGCCCCTTGTACTGATTGACAACATTGCCAATTCATAGCTGCAGGGAGAAGGACACTGCATTGCACATTATATGAAGTTTGCATTCAGGAACAGAGTGAACTCCCACAAGCTGTGAGAGGCAGGCTTCGTAGTTTCAACAAGGTGCATCCTGGTTCCTGTGTCAGGATGTGATGGGCTTGCTTGAATAATTCTGCAGACTGTCACTCAGCTCACTCATTCAGTGCTGGGTCATTTATTTGAAATGACTTGTAAGTGACCTTCAAGTAGTTTTTTGGAGGTTGTAAATTGCATGGGCGCGCCGCTCTCATTATCTTTCTCCCTTAGAGCAGCTGGTATAATGGCTCTGCGTGCCTTTGGGTTGGCAGTGCAGCTCCTTACCCACTAGGCCACTAGGTGAAACTTACAACTCAAGATAAAACAGGAACTGTACCTGATTAAGGACTTCTGCTTGCCCGTTGTGATTCTAAACAAGAGGCAGTGCATCTCTGGCATTTTGAATCGCGAATTGCTGCTTGGGAGAAAGATCAACAGTTTCCTCTTGTTAAGATTTATTAGTGTAATAAACCCAATGTGGAAGGTTGCGTTGAGTTGAAATCAATTCAAGGCAGTAAGTTTATTGAGTTTGAGCACCTGGTTATCTTGGTGAGGATATTTTACTGTTGTTAGGTGCTGAACCAACTTGTAACTGACCCTCCAGCAGGTTTTCAGAGGCAGTAAGCCATATGAGACGAGATTACCCATCTTTCTCCTGCAGAGCAGCTGGTCAGTTTGAACCGCTTGCCTTTGGATTGGCCGCACAACTCCTTACCAGTAGGCCACCAGAGCTCCCTTGGTGGTTCATGGCATTTCCCATAATCTTCAACAGTGTCACAATTCAAAGGCATCAGTTCTTCTCTGGTCTTCTTTATTCTTTTTCCAACATTTATGTGGATAAAAAGCAATTGGAAATACCAAAACTTGGGCAAGTCACACCTTACTCTTTAAAATGACATCCTTACTATATAATAGCATCTTCAAGAGGTCTTTGGCACAGGATTTGACTAATGAAATACCTTGTTTGAGTTCTTGGCTGATGCCTTCTGTGGTGTTTATTCTTGATTCAAGTATGAAGAAATAATTGACAACTTCTATTTTCTCCATTTATCATGCTGTTGCCTATTGGTCTTTTTGTGAGGACTTTGATTTATGTTGAGGTAACATCCATGTTGGTGACTATAGTTTTGGATCTTCAGTAAGTGCTTCAAATGATCTTAATTTTCTATAGTCAAGGTTGTGTCATCTACATACTGTAAATTGTTAATGAATCTTCCTCCAATTCTGATGCCATATTCATCTTCCTGTAGACCAGACTTTTCGACTTATTTGCTCAGCATACAAATTGAATAGACGTGGTCAAAAGATACAAACTTCACATAACCTGTCCTGATTTTAAGCCATATAGAATCTCCTCATTTTATTTAAATGACTGCTTCTTGGTCTACACATACAGGTTCCACATTAAGCACAAGTAAGTGTCCTGGAATTCTTATTCTGTTCAAGTTTTTCTGCAAATTGTTACCATACAAACAGTTGAATGCCTTTACATAATCAGGAGGACACAATGAAAACTTTTTTGGTATTTTTTTCTTTCAGTCAAGATTAATCTGACATTAGCAATCTTATCATTTGTTCCATAGTCTTTTCTGAATGCAGTTTTAATGTATGGCAATTCCCTGTTGATGTACAGCTCCAGCCCTTTTTAAATGGTCTTTAGCAAAATTTTTCTTGCATGTAATAGTAATGACATTGTTAAATATTTTCCATATTCTGTTGGATCATATTTCATTTTTTTTGAATGGTCACAAATATGTTTTCCAGATTGTTGATGACTAACGCTGTCTTTCAGATTTTTTTCATAGATAAATGAGCACCTCCAGAGATGCATCTATTTGTTGAAACACCAAATGTGGTATTCTGTCAATTTCTTGGAACCTTATTTTTTTTGCCACTGCCTCAGTGCGGCGTGTACTTCCTCCTTTGGCACCATCGGTTGCTACAAAAAAATTGAATATGTTGGAAATTCTCTGATAGACTTTTAGCTGCTGTTCTGCTTTTCTTTTTACTTAGAATTTGGTTTTCTCAGTTCAGCTATTTGCTATTAATTCTGCAACTTCTAAAATTTTGTTGCTGTTACTCCTGTCATTGTCTTTGGTGAATATGTGCCATTGAGTTGACTACAACTCATAGCGACTTTATGCACAGGAGCTCTGAATCCTGCTCTATTCTGAGCCAATCTCAACTGTCTCTGAAACGCCTACCCTTATTATCCCAGTTATTGTGTCAGTCCGTCTCATCCAGATCTTTCTCTCCTGTGCTGTCCCTCAGCCCTTCCAAGCATAATATCCTTCTCCAAAAACTGGTGTCTCCTGGCAGTATGCCCAAAGTATGTGAGACAGAGTCTCAAAAATCCTTGCCTCCACATTAATAAAATAGAATAAAATGAAACACTCCTATACTTTTAAATAGTATTCTGGAGGATATGAAGTGAAAATTGTGTGTGTTTTATATAGTTAGTTATTTTTTTCCCATGAAAATGTCCATCATTTTACATTTTATTTATTGAACAATCTTAATTATTTTAAAAAGAACATGATTTTGTTTTATTTTGAGTGAAGATTTACAAGCCATATTCATTTCTCATACAATTATTCACAGATATTTTGTGCCATTGATGAATGTTAATTACTGAATTATAATGTCTAACCCATCTCTTATCATATATTGGAATGAAACTAATTTAAAACAGAGACAGAATCTCTGTGATTAATTTTCCCCTTTATCCTAGCTTCCTATACAGCTGATCATGACATGGCTAATGACCATATTTTCATTTAAAACTTTTAGTTTTTATTTATCAGGGAGTTTTTTTCTTGTTAATTTTACTTTTAAAGAATATTTTATTACAGTATTAATCTTGATTACTGATGGCTTGGTGTGATTTTTCTGCACACCTACCTTTAAGTTTTGTGCTGAACTTAGTCCTCCCCGCACCTCACCCTGGTTTCAGCTGTCAGCTCAGCAATCCTTCAGTCACAGCACAGGCCTTAGATACCAGTGATGGGTCATCACATTGGTGTACATAGTTCCAGCTCCACTGCCTACACTCAAGCCAGTTTACCATCTGCTTCTGTCTTAACTGCCCAGTTGTCTTTGGAGTCAACTTTAGGTATGCCAGAGTAGAATTGTGCTTCACAGAGCGTCTGAGGTCTGTGTGACCTTCCAGAAATTGATCACTAGGCCTTTCCTCTAAGATACTTCTGAGTAAACTTGAAATACAAGCCTTTCAGTCAGCAGTCAAATGCATAACAATATGTGCATAGAATTCTCTTTTGTGATTTGCTCCCTGGCAGTTTTCAATAAAGTCACAGGGAAGCTGGGTTCGGTACTTCAGTTTTTTTAGCTCTTCGCCCCCTTCTTTTACGCTCTCTGTCTTTTCCTCCATTCCTGTGTGTAGCTGTCTCTTTCTTTTTCCTCAGCTGACAACACAAACTGCTGTACCACTCCATCATTCTGACATTAATTATTCCTCCTCCCTTCAGTCCTCCCATTCCCTCTATGTTTCTGGGCATGGTCTCAACGAAACAAAAAAAACCTGAGCTTTTGAGACGGCTTACTCACATAATTGTGGATGCTGTATGCCAGTGTAAAGGTTGCAGAGCTTGGTTAATATTCCAAGAGCCTGCAGGCTGAGGTGGTTGATTGTTGACACTTGTAAACACAGCTGGTTCAGATTAGATGCAGTGTTCCAACCCAGCAAGCAGTGAACTTTCTAGAATAATTCTTTATCTCGGATTTGAGGGCTATAAATCACATTTTCAGAAGAACTAAGAGTGGTGACTTACATAATACCTTCTAGTAGGGTGTGGCTTGTATTCCACTCTAATTCTGTCTTCCTCATACAATAACTAAATCATCTTTTAATGAGCTCATAAGCATAGACAAAGAAACTAGAATGAAAAATGGAAGGTTGTGGATTGTTGTTGTTATGTGGCATCCAGCCACTTGGTAACTCATAGTGACCCTATACACATTAGCTTTGAGCCAATCTCATCATCTCCAACAGACCTAATCCGATTTCTCCAGTCACTAGGCCAATCTATCTCATCCTGGGTCTTTGTCTCCTGCACTGTCCCTCTACTCTTCCAAGCATGATGATGTTCTCCAAGGACTGGTCCCTCCTGGCCACATGCCCAAAGTATGTGAGATGGACTTTCCCAATGTAATTAATCTTTTTATTTCCTGACTGCTGGTGCCAAGATGTGATTGTGAAACCAAGCAAGCTGAAGTTATCAACAATCTCAATTTCCGTCCATCATGAAGCTGCCAGTTGGCCCAGTGGTTAGAATCTTTGTTTTCATGATGTTAAGCTTCAATCAATATTAAAGACTACAGTCCTTGACCTTCTGCAGAAAATGCCTCATGTCTTCTTTAGTTTCAGCAAGCAAGGTTGTGTCATCTGCATAAT